GGCCCGAATCATTTGGGGATCGATTTCATGGGCCCATTCCCTCCATCTTTTGGTAATCTATATATACTGGTTGCGGTAGACTATGTCTCGAGGTGTGCAGAAGCTCAAGCCATGCCCACCAATGACGCAAGACGGGTCTGCTCATTTGTGAAGCATCTGTTCTCCCGGTTCGGGACACCTCGTGCCATCATAAGCGATAGAGGAACCCATTTTCAAGGGCAATTCACTAAGATCCTCTCTCGCTATGGTGTTAAGCATCAGGTGTCGGTGGCTTACCATCCCCAGACAGGCCATGTTAAAAAAAAAACTCTTGTTCCCCCTCCAACCCTTCGCTGGTATCTATAAAAAATAAAAATTCTAGTGACCAATATGCTATTGAAACAAAAAAAAATTGTGATCGTAATTAAATGAGAAGAAATATGCGGATAGAAGTGGGTTTTTTCAATTTTCAAACACACACACACACATCAAATAGCCTTGTTTCCCTATTCCTCTTTGTGCCACCGCTTCTCTCCTCTCTCGAGTGATCCGAAGGTTCTTGAAAATTTGATGAAACTTGAATCTTGAAAACCCTGTCTGCACAAATATCACAGAGTTCTTGAAAATTGAATCGGGAGTCAATTTTCAGCATAATGGATTCGCCGTCCTCATAATCAATGCCTATGTCAGAGTTTGTCACCCTTCCATTCCACCGAATAGTAAGATGAAACTTCTTGAATTTACCCATATCTACAATTTACAATAAGTATCTATTAGCTTAAAGACATTAAAATTAACCAAAATCATATTGTACAACTAATATTATCCATCTCATAACTAACGAACATAAATTCAACTAACTAACAACAACATAATATGAAAATTAAAGCATACTATAACTACTATAAACATAATTAGACTATAATACGAAAAGTCTCAACATACCGAAAAATGCCTGTTCTGTGTATTATGCTGGATTTTTGTTGCTGAAATTTGAAGAAAGGGGAGTGGTCATGTTTTTACAACTGCTGGTTGTGTGGTATTTATAACCAAAATCTGCCAACTATTCACCGTTTTAGACAACAACAGTGAACACCATCACTGCGTTTGTCTCAAACGGTGAATAATAGGTAGGTGTGACCTAATTTTGACCTACCAGGGGTGGGAAACGTGGGAAAAGATCACCGCGTTACCCTACAACGGTGAATACATTCACCATTTTTAACTAAAACGGTGATGTATTCACCGTTCTATTCAAAGACGGTGAATACATCACCGTTTTAGATGAAGGCGGTGAATACGTCACCATTTTATTTTTAAACGGTGAAATATTCACCGTCTTTGTCAAACATGGTGATCATCTTCACTACGTTTGTCAAAAAAGGTGAATGCCGAACATGTGTACTTTGGGAAATTTTTTTATAACTTATATATGTTGAAAAAAAAAATTTAAGAACGTATGTAAAGTGAGATTTTTTCCCCACAGCAACAACAACGTCAATTGAACACCGCTAGTTGCTCTTGCTCACCAATTATTCCAGGGTTGTTTTGCTTTGTTGTTCTCTCCCCTTATTTAGATAAGCAATAACGGGAATTGGGAAGTGGGTGAAACGAGCCAAGCTTAGCTACCTACGTAACAAGTAAAATCACCTGAAGAATCTTTTCCAAAGCCAAAAAATGGTAACATAGCAATCTCATTACAGGATTATACGAATCATACGGGAATTATTTGAATCTACACAAGACATATCATCACCTTCTCTCTCGACAATTACAGGATCAGGGAATCATTAAAAAAAAAAAGACCAAAATATAACATATCGATCCATCGCCTAGCGGTAGTAGGGAAGCCGCACAAATATGAAACGTCAGTTACTCGTCTATGCCTGAGAAGATTCAAACACAAAAAAGTTAGGAATTGTGATACTGAAGCTACCGTTCACACGAATCAGTTGAAACTGTAGGGTATATACCTTGTTTGCAATGTTATTGGACAGCCAATCCAGTCCTTCGTAAAGCCCTTCACCGGATGTAGCACAGGTGCTCTGGATATACCTGAAACAGAATCATCCATTAGTGACGAGCTAGCCATTTCCCTCATTATTGCCCTTCACCAGATGTAGCAGATGTCCACTGGACAAACTTGTGAGAAAAACAAATGTGAAGCCAAACAAAATAGTATACCAGTGGCGCTGACGAAGGGAATGAAGACCGAGCTTATCAGTGATCTCAGCAGCATTCATGGCATTAGGAAGATCCTGCTTGTTTGCAAAAACAAGGAGAACAGCATCCCTCAACTCATCCTGCATATTGGACAGGGGGCAGAAACGGGGAGATTAGAGATGAAAGAACAAGCTTCAATTATGACTTGTGAAAATCAAGCTCAGAGAAATATATATGAACATACCTCGTTCAACATGCGGTGGAGTTCGTCCCTGGCCTCCACAACACGGTCACGATCATTGCTATCAACCACAAAGATCAGTCCCTGGGTGTTCTGGAAGTAGTGTCTCCACAAGGGTCGGATCTGTTGTCAACAACAACACAGTTCATTTACAAACAACATACAATTATAGAAGTCAATGCAACCTACTTTAGCTGCCAGAATCATATACAAAAGTGTGATACATAAAAGCCAAGACAAAAGAAGATGTGAGTAGGAGAATGGCAAACATGTTTGCCACGACATGTACATAGCCTTAACTCCATATGATGGAGAAAAGGCTTAACAGACAAGATGGCTCCAGTCAATGTAGCTTATGATAATGTTGTGTGCTAATGAATTATGTTCTTATTAGCACAAGACCGTCAATAAGCACAAAAGAAGAAAAGCCTGTGAATAGGCAGTAATAATAACGAGGAATTAATTCCAGACTGATCCTCCCATTAAACAAGTACAAGTACAATAGTAACGACTAATGCAAGTGACCAGTAACATGTTTGCCACGACATGGATAGCCTGACCTCATATGAGTAAGGAAAAGTTCGAAAGACAAGATGGCTGGGTCGATGTAGCTTATGATTATGTAGTGGGCTAATGGTTTAATTTAATATTAGCACAGGACCGTAATAAGCATATAGGGTCGTGAATATGTGAAGGCAAAATGATGTAGAGACAGCATTTCCCAACAGCTACTCTCACAGAATGGTGAGAGCTAATTGGTGTTGGTGCATGCAAGTAACCAGGACAAGAATCTGAAGAGATGGTACATCAAATAACATTACCGTACATTGATCAAACATGTAGTCACAAAATAGACATTTCTGCCACAACATGGATAGCCTTTCCTCATTTGATAAAGGAAGAGCTTGAAAGACAAGTTGGCTCTAATTAGTGTAGCTTATGATTATGTTGTGTGCTAATGATTCAGTTTTTTATTAGCACAAGACCGTCAATAAGCACAAAAAACCGCCTGTGAATATGGAAAAACTAAAAAAAGAAGATAACTTAACACAATGGGCACTTACCAAGTGACCAGTACCTATGAAGAAGAAATATTTGCCACAATATGGATAGCATCTCCAAATTTCAAATAGAAAAGGCTCGAAAGACAAGATGACAATCTTCAATGTAGCTTATGAATATGTTGTGTGCTAATGATTTAATTTCTTATTAGCACAAGACCGTCCATAAGCACAAATTGACACATAAAACTCACATACGTACAGTTAAGATATGAAATTTCAGCCACGGAGCTGATAGCCTTATCCCATTAACTGGAGAAAGAGCTGAAGAAGCCCAAACTGGCTCTGATAAATTTAGCTTATGAATATGTTGTGTGCTAATGAAGGCAACTAATCAGCACAAGACCGTCAATAAGCACATTCAGGTTTATCTCAATAAGGCAACATAGCATCAGTTTTCACGATCAAAAGAAGCCTATCTAGAGCACTTAAGTAGACTACATTTACACAACTAGACACTCATAAAAGTTGCAATGCAAGCACAGCAGGCAGAAAAATAGTGTTAATACCAGATTGTCCGTTTCCAAAACAGATGATAACGATGAAGAGTAACCATACCTTGTCCTGACCCCCAACATCCCAGACGGTGAAGCTAATGTTCTTGTATTCCACAGTCTCAACATTAAATCCTGATGACACAGAGCGCAGCATTAGAAACAGTTTAGTTGATTAAATATATTCAAGCTCTACTACTGTGGTTGGCATAAACTAACCGATTGTAGGAATGGTTGTGACGATCTCTCCCAGCTTGAGCTTGTACAAGATGGTGGTCTTACCAGCTGCGTCGAGACCCACCATAAGAATCCTCATCTCTTTCTTGGCAAAAAGCCGGCTGAAGAGCTTCGTGAATGACAGACCCATCTTGTTCTTCTGCACCAAGGACACCGCAAATTAGCGAGCAACAATCAGAAAGTAATAACCCCAAAAAAAATCATAAGCTAAGCTCCAAGCAGCGGCTCTTCTAGTCACAGAAGATAGAAAATTAATCATCAATGAACATTCCTCGCAGGTTGATTGGCTTTTGCCCATTATGACTACGAAATGTTGCAAAGCATCTCATAATGGGGAAACAAGATCTGAATGCACTAATCAAACAATAAAAGCCACTACAGATGCATCCGATCCTTCTATTTCCCCAGGTAACCTAACGAGACTAACGTAACGATGAAGGAGGCATCCAAATGATTCGATTACCAATAAAACAATAATCAATACACCATCCTTCATTAGATAAACACATCAAACGCAATACATTATCGGAGAGAACAAGAAGCCGGCGCGAGCAAAGAACAATAACAACGCATTAGATCTAACGTCGTTACAAAATGAATACGGCAAAAACAATTCCTTTGTCAGCTGTATAGATCGAAGACAGGGAAAATGAATTGTAGATTACATATGACCTGAATCCAGATCTAGCTAGCTATGCGAAGAGTCGATAGAGGGAGGAAAAGAGAGATGCGACTTACTGAGAAACCAGAGGGTGGAGGAGGATCTGGCGAAGGATGAACCGGCCCTTGCCCTAGATTGGATCTCGGAGAAAGGGAAGGAGGAATGGGGGAAAAGGGATGGGATGGGAGAGGGACGACGCGACGGCAATGGGGGGATAAAGAGAGGAGGCGGAAGCGCTACTCACAACAATTTAAATAGGTGCCAGGCCAGGTAGGGGTGGCTATGCGGTCCAGTTCGGTTAAATTGGCTCAAATTGATTCGGTTCAGTTTGGTCTTTTTGAAAATATAAGGATCAAAGATTGGATTGGATACAGTCTGGTTTTTATCTGGTCCGGTCTCAATTCGGTCTTGATTTTATATTGAGCTTGTATGGATTTGAGTGGCCTAACGCCTGAAAGGAGAGAAGTTGGTTAAATTTTGTACTAAGTGCAAAGGTTTGTGATCGTTTATGCAAATTATCCTTAAGTTTTGGGTGTTGAGCTCTCTTATCCAGTCTTTATCCAGTTTTCGATCCGGTCCCGAATGGTTTTTTACCTCAAATCTAAACCCAAAGATTGGATTGGATTGTTTACTATCCGGTCTCGATCCGGGTTATACGGTCCGATTTCGGGTAAAACCAAAAAACCCGGACCAAATAGCCAGCCCTAAGGCCAGGTGCCGACTGAAGCGAATCTGATATCGAATTAGTTAACGTCTGTTTCCCACTGAAGGAATCTTCGTTCCTTCTATATTTTCTGAAATCCCGCTCCTTCTATATTTTCAAGTTTTTACTTTTTAGTTTCTAGGATGGAATACTAAACCAGCAATCCGACCATGAAAATAGTAAGTTTTATGTTTAGGTGACAAATGAATTGAACACGCATTGACTGAAATGCGAGAACTAGAGGGAGAGGACATTGGAGTGGGAGTGGAAGTTCGGTTCAGTTTATTTCGAACCAAACAAACAAAGGCAGTGAAGGTATGGTTGAATTAGGGGTCCCGGAGACGAATGGTTCAGGTGGTCTGGCACTATTTTGGGATTCAGAAGTGGAGCTTACACTCAAAACTATGTCAAAAAATCATATTGATACTACCATTCTCTATAAAGAGATGAATTTGGAGTGGTGATTTACTGGTTTCTATGGGTGGCCGTATAGTCAAGAGAAATATAAGTTGTGGGAGCTCCTATGTCTTCTCCATTCCAGGCTGTCACTACCTTGGCTGGTAGCGGGAGACTTCAATCAAATTATCAGCTTCGACGAGAAAAGAGGCGGCAACATTGATGGTGAAGTTGCCATCCAAGATTTCGCAAATGTCCTGACATAAGTGGGCCTTGAAGACCTGGGCTATGTTGGATATCCCTATACTTGGGACAATGAAACAGATGGATCAAGGACAATTGAAGAGCACTTGGACCAGGCTGTAAGTAATTATGATAGGGCTCAGGCTTTCCCAAATACGTTAGTCCGTCATTTAGGGAGGCCGAATTTGGTTCATCGAGCCCTCTGCATTGACACGGAAGGGGGCGGATGAGAAGAAATAAGATGGGGGTCTCGTTACGAAGCATTCTAAGCAAAAGAAGAAAATAGCAAGCAGGTGGTGGCAGAAGCTTGGTCTTCGGGAGGAAGTGATGACTCAATTGGGAAGCTTCAAAAGTGAAAAATGAAATTGCAGGGCTGGAGCAAAGAGAGATTTGGTAAATTCAAGGAGAGAAGGTGAAGGTCATCATCAATCTTTCCCGTCATATGAAGAAGAAATTCAACCGGACCATGCCAACCAACCCCAGTACAACTTCCAATCAGATGAAAGATGCCCTGCCAGCACTAGTCAGTGACCCCACCGATGAAGAAGGAGAGAACAACGTCAGTGCAGACAACTCCGACCCTCTTGAAGGTGCTGATGATTCAGGACCAGAGTCAGAGTCAGAGTCAGATAATGATGATGAGGTGGCTCATGAACGTGTACCAGTCCCCTACTACAATCACATTCCAGACGGCAATTGGATGATCGACAGCAACATGGAACCCCCGGAGGTTCCAGTATGGGGTCCACTCACTAGGTTTATGAAAGGGCCAACAATTTGGCTCGAAGAAGGAGGTGCGGCACGCCATTGATACTGAAGCAATGACTCGGCATTTTGAATGGCACGCAACTAATTCCAACACGAAAAGGCTCATAGTCAGATGCCGTAATCATAACGAGGGATGCAATGTTAGGATTCGGGCCATCAATAGCAAGAGACACGACCATTGGGTCATATCTCGTGCGGTGAACACACACACATGTGTGTCATCCATAACATCCCAAGGCCATTGACAGTTGAAATCCAGGGTGGTTGCTGCGGCTATCAAACATCTAATTGAGCAAGATCCTGACCTGAAGGTGAAAGTCATAATCGCTGACATTGCAAGTCGTTATGGTTATATGATTAACTATAAGAAGGCGTGGCATGGAAAGCATAAAGCTCTGGCCGCCGTATTTGGTGACTGGGAAGAATCATATGCATTCCTTCCCAAGTTGATTTTGGCATTGGAGGCGTCTAACCCTGACACTGTTTTCTCCCCTCGATACCAAGATGAAGAAATACAACCGCCAGAGCCCGGTAACAAATGCCATTTCAGACGACTTTTTTGGGCATTCAAGCCATCTATTGATGGTTTTGGCTTCTGTGTCTTTGTGATCCAAGTGGATGGTACATTCCTTACCAGCAAGTACAAGGGCACTCTACTGATTTCCAGTGGGGCAGATGCAAACAAACAAGTCTTTCCGTTAGCCTTCACCATTGTTGAGGGACAGAATACTGATAGCTATGGATGGTTTTCCGGCAAATTCAGCTCCACGTCACTAGGAGGACGAACCTGACAATAATCTCTGATCGGCACGCCGGGATTAGAGCTGACATCTTAGGTTTGCATCCAGCCTGGAAGTGGTCCCAAAGGTGGTGCATACGACACTTCAAGAGCAACTGGAACCATCATTTCAAGCGGAAGAAGCTTGCTGATAATTTGTGGTGGATTGGTAAGCTCTCTATTGGTTGTTTAATTTTGTCTGATAACAATATCTTATATCAAATAAATGGTACACTTGTTAGACTCTTTCTAAAGAGATGCATGCCTAAGGAAATGTGGTTTAAGCGATTATCATGGTCCTCCCATTTCCTGGGAAAATCGGGTTTTAAGCGATCCTCGGATCCCCCTTTTTTTCAACCAGGTTGTGTTTCTAAGGAGATGTATATCTCTCCTAAGAGTCTAACGAGAGTACCTGCTGGTTGTTCGAATTGTAATAAATTGCCGAATTATGACTAACGTAATACTTGATTGTGATTACTTCAGCTGTTGCATGCCAAGAGAAAAAATTCCAGGAGAAATTGCAGAAGATGTGCGAGTTATGCCCTGAAGGGGCATAGTGGCTGGATAGACACGACCTATCCATGTGGACATTTCATAAAGACGGTGGTACAAGATGGGGTATGGCCACAACGAACTCATCAGAGAGTATCAATTCTACCTACAAGGGTGTTCCGGCGCTGCCAATCTCTGCCATTGTGGAGATGACTTTCTGGAAGTTGTCCAGGTCCGATTGTTCCGCAAAATCCGGGTCCTGATGTGGGGGACTCAGCTAATGCGACATAGTTTGCGGTTTTTATTTGTTGGTACTTGTTATGTATGTTTTCAATTATTGTCGGAGTTAGAGCTATGATGCTTGGAACTTTCGTGTTTGGCAAATAACCCTCAATTAACACTCAAGCCTTAAGCTAACACAATCAAAATAGAGAAAGCCAAGTACTTTGAACAAATGTAAAAACTAAAACAACACTCAATTAAAGAAACTAAAATAGGAGGAAGGGTTTCAAGTACATATAATTAAAACATAACTAAAAACAACACTTAAAATGATAAAACTAAAAATACATCTCAAGGAAGTCCCTGGGACTCATGGGGCTGCAAGGTTTTCTTGCTCCTTGTGCGACGGCCGACGGGAGTAACCATCAGTGGTTAGGGTGGCAAGCTTCGATGGGCCATGCTAGGGCGCTCGTCGGTGCTGTGTCGGCGTCGATCCGTGGTAGGCGGCGCTTCCGGGGTCGAGCGGGGGACATCCACGCTCATACGGTGAGGGGTAGGAGGCCACGACTGATGAAGGCGAGGAATAGGATTGAAGTCGTGATGCGCAGTCGTGGAGGAACCATCATGCCAAGTACCCTAGGATGTGGGGGGTTTGTTGAAGAAGTTTGGGCGGGGATCTTGGGGGTAGATCGACCGAGGATCATAGTATGGTGGGCGAGGATCATAGTATGGTGGGCGGGGATCGTGGTATGAGATCGGGCGGGGATCATATGGTGATTGATGGTAGCTCGGCGGGGATTGATGGTAGCTCGGGTGGGGATCATAGTATGAGCTCGGGTGAGGATCATGATGGTAGGTCGGGCGGGATCATGATGGGGATCTTGGGAGTGGCTCGGGCGGGGATCTTGGGAATGGCTCGGGAGGGGTTCTTGGGAGTGGCTCGGGCGGCGATCTTGATGTGAGCTCGGACCGCCACCGTGTGCCACAACCAAGGGGGTCGGCACTCTCCACGCCTCCAACGGCCTTATCTCGGGAACATGAGGTCTTTCCCGAACCTTCTTGCTTTTCTTTCTCTCATATGGTGGTGAGGGTGGGGGACATCAACTTGTACCGGAGGTGGCACCGGTGCGGGCATGGGTGGGTATCTATGATGATCACGACCCTGTGCTCTGATATAGCCAAGCAGACTGTTTGTCATCCTCTTGATGAAGCTCACATCTTCACTGCCCATTTCACGTTTCCCATGGGTCAAATCTTTGATCCGCTCGATCCCATCAGCCTAAATCACATAAAAAGGTTAGCAAGATAAGACTAATGATGTGATAGAATGAAACAAGCAATAAATTTAATCTTATTATACGGAATATACTTACCAATGCACCATCGGCCGCACCCTCCAGAGTCACGGAGTCACGTACCGAACCGATGTTTGCCGATATCTATCCATTTATGAGTCATGATACCCCATTCGACCCACATTTGTTGGAGTGACAATATCCTGAAGTTTTCGGTTCTCCCGTATCACGATCATTTCCGCCAACTTTGTGGGCCAATCGTGAGTACCTTGTCGACCATCTCGATGGTGAAACGCCCTTTGACTCTCGGGGGCCTCCAAGGG